CAGCTCGTCTTCTTCAATATCCGAGAAAGGTATCCCGTATCCCATAACTCTAGCCCCCTGTACGTCAATGATCAAAGAAATGTATCCTTGTATCCCATAAGCTCAGCCCTTTCTACGTCAGTACAGGCAAAATGAACAGTGCGGAGTACGGCTAAAGTTTATAATGTAGTTGAATATCAGCGTTGAAGATTTAAAGACAATCAGAAAAGGCCTTCATGATTTACTACAAGAAAACTGATTTCCCAATTTCAATAAAAATGGCAAATAAGCACCTATACAACCTAACCTATTCGTACTTTCCACTAAGATACACCAGCTTTGAAAGTTTAAAGATAATCTGATATACCATTCCCTTGTTACCAGAGACCAATATCCCAAAATACAACACTAACACTATAAGTTTGAAGCCGCTCAGAAGTGGCATTCTTAAGTTCTTGGCGTTGAAGGTTTGAAGGTGATAGCACGAGTCATCCCAAATTATTACATGAAACTCGGGAGTTCATGTTTTCCCAATTTGTTCAACAAAAATGGCAAATTTTATTGAATGCTCAAGGTTTACAAACCTATCAATACCATACGAATTATATGAAATTAATTTCCTTAACGTAACTGGCAAATCAAAATTTATATAATCCAAAATTAGTTCGAAGCACTAAAAGTCTGAAGACGACCATACAATCCAACGATATCAAGTTTATGTTAGTAAACAGGCAAATTTTCCCTTAAGTAGCCTAAACCCAAAAGTTATCCTTATCATAAGATGTATCAGCCATTGAAGACTGAAGCCGTTCAAAGAGGCCTACTAAAGTTAATAGAATAAAACACTTCACAATTTATATATGTATATATGTAGATGGGGTCCACCTCTGATGTAAATTGTGGGACCCATAACCTCGGAGAAGTGGATTAAAAGGCTTCAAGAAAGAATATTTGGATTTCTTCTGAAGACTTTGAATTTATTTCCACTTCCCCTAACCCCACAACAACACACCAACAACACACAACAACACACACACACCAAAACAAATACATATATATATTATTATATATATATATATATATATATATATATTATATATATAATATTATTATATATATAAATATATATTTTAATTAAAAATATATGATAATAATATTTTTTTTTCAACAAGCGGCCCACCACCGAGGCTGGACAAAAGAAGATAAAATCCCCAAAAGAAAATTACTTAAAACATCAAAATTTCACACACTCGCACATTATACTGTTTTTGCAGAGGTCAGAATACTAAAGTCTAGAGCATACACATATAAAGATACAACTTATCCCTCCAAACGCAAAATTCCCAAACCCTCCTTTAAAGTGCAGGCATTGTACTTCCATTTCCAGACTCAAGTCCGATATATGAAAACCGTTACCTGAATCCCTTTAACTATAATATTACCCTGCTCACACTCCAAAGATCGTCAGTCCAAGTACATTTTCACATTCACTCCTATATAAATTTAAATAAACGCTATTTGCATATAGACAAGTGAAAATTTTGTGTAAAGCAATTTAAAGTCGCCAAATCATCTGAACCTAACGAAAAGATACATTTCACTGTGTTTGTTTAGTATTAAATTTATTGAAAACAAATCTAAAATATATTAAATTGGGGTTAAACTAAAAAAATTTTTCTTGTTATAATAAGGTTGATAAGTTTTCTAAGATTCTTTTTGGGGCAAAAATTTTAAAAATTTTTACATTAACCAATGAAAAAAATATATCTTTAAAGATAAGAGAAAATTTTTGAAAGGACTTATTTTAAAAGAGTTCTTGCTAATTGACCGTTTCATTTCGCCGCATATATATAATATATATATATATATATATATATATATTATATATTTAAAATTTTTAATATAATATATATATATATATATATATATATATATATATATATAATTGGCACTTACACTCCAATAACAATCCCATCGTCCTGTTTAGCAGAACACACCGGTGTTGAAAGTCAACCAGAGGAAGCTTTCTCAAGTTGTCATATGGAGTTCAAAATCGGGAAATGGTATTGACCAGAGGGTACCTGCGCATGCCAGTAGTTGCATGAATGTTTTCCTAGTTACAGCACACTAGTGTTGTAGATCTGAAACCGATTGGATGAGGCGTTCTACCGTTGTAAATGAAAGGCTTGAAGAAAAAAAACTGAGGCAACTGCTCAGAGGTATTCTTTTGAGGATACATAATTATAATGTCCACGAGTGACCACATCTACTACTGCTGCATCGCTCCACTTCTCCCACTGTCTCCACTATTGAAGGCTGTGTTACGTTATTTCACCCACTGGTGGACGAAATGCTCATGACAAAGTTACTCATGTGTCGTACATGTTTCTTACTTATCACATATATGTGAATGTTGGTCTTTAGGCAGAAGAACTGCAATACAGATTAGATAATGTTACTGGCCACGAGAGTTGCTCAGGTCGAGGCTGCTGCGATTAGATAACGTCACAGCCCTTAAAAATTTCTAGTACACTTGTGTGCAAAATAGGGCATTCTGATGTGAAACTTTGTTGTAAAACAAATTTGATATTGAAAACTTTGTCGACCACATCCATATTATATAATGGAAAATAAAATCTAAAGTCCGTATGGACCACACAGAGATGCCCATCTGAAAAGCTTGTTAAGGAACCTTGATGCAGGTGAAGGGCTCTTGATCCAAAGAACTGGAGCTATCCCCCTTGGTTCGAAGCTAGTATCTTCCCATTCCCTAGGCTCTATATAACTTATGAGTTTAGCGCTTCCACACGAATGTAATAGTAATAACACTGTCATAATGATCTTATTAAATTCCTAAGGCGCCACTGAATTATTTGTTCATGGGGCGCGCTAAACTCATACGGGTAATATAGAGCCTGGAAACGAGAGGTAATCACGTTTGAGCCAAGCTCCATTTCCTTGGACCAAGAGTTCTTCAGCAGTATCAATGTGCTTCCCCTGAAGGGTTAAGGAGCACCTAGTGGGTCACATGCTAAACATGGGCCTTGTAATATGTATATTAAGTCTCCACTTTTCCCTTAAGTGCACTGTCCCTTTTGCAAAGTAGCTTCATGTGCTTCTTTATCTTCGTGTGTAACTGTAAGAACAATGTCTTCAAAGTGACAGTCGTATTTAAAGGTGTCCAGGAAGTTTCAAACATAATATTAATTACAGAGACACATAGTTCTTACACCAGTGTAAATCGCGCCTAACACAGCCTTTCATTACATGGTTTTGGTCTAATGGGGCTACAATTACACCACATTTCAGTGTGAATGTGGTTTTATTCGACAACATTTCGCTCTAAATAAGGCTTTAGTAATTACTATACTTACATTTTTAATTAATATAATCCATATCTAAATCTTATCTGGTGAAGTTGAGACGCTATCTGATATTCCGTCATCCTCATCTAACTACGTACATCTCTCTAACCCCTTTCTCACCTCCTCCCATAATCTTGCTTATTACCCTTTTCCCTACTGTTTTGCTAGGCTCTCATCTTTTGCGCTAGGCTCTCATCTTTTGCCCCTCACACCCTGCTCTCTCATGCTGCCTTTCACGTACCTCAAAACAAAATTAAGTATGATTAATAACTTCTGCTCCTACGACTCACCTCCCGTCCCGAACGCCTCACAAACACCTCACTACCACCCATAACTCCCTCACTAACACCCATTACCCCCCCTCACTAATCTCCTAATCCTCTCTTCACATACACTAAAACACTAGCCTCAAAATTCTCGTTGGTTGCCAATTCATCATATTCAGTTTCGGTCCAAGATTTTGGCAGAAGGATTTTGATGTCTCTGAAGTAGGTCCTGTTCCTGGTGGCTCTGAACAGCACCTCTGAGGCTTCCGTCAGCGTCTCCTGGAGGAATAAAAAAGTAAGAATATTATGAGAAGGAAATGATCATTAGTTCAGCATGGTTAAGCTGCGGTTGCTGCTGCTGCGATCATTTGTTAGGTTAGGTAGGATTCGTCAGGAAACAGGACAAATGTTTCCTGATGTGGATCTTAATCCAGTGATGACCCGTCACTGGAGCTTTTAGTCATATGACCGAGGCATTCCGCTGGCTTACAGATCCCAGCCCTTTTTAAAAATTTCAGGTAATATCATTTCGTATTATTCGCGATCCTTCATAGGGATGCACAACCCGCGTAATGAGTTTTTATTTACGGTTTTATACATAAATCTTTACAATAATCGTGAAGATACACATTATGGGCACATGCATTTTGAAGATTTACCCTAAGCTAACCCAATAGCCAAACAATGTGACTTATTTCCACTGAGGACCTCAGTGTTCTATGTAAAGTAATGCTGATTAGTGACAGTACCTTCCATTGGTGCTGCTCAGTTTATAATAAAGTACGTAGCTTATTTTTCATTCAGTAATACTACGTATGTTACTACATTCAAGCAGTTGTTATAAGAAATAATCGTACTAAATAACTAGAAAGCACAATATTACTGAGACTTAAAGTGTTCTAGTTTTTGCTAAATATATTGTTTACTGTCGCTGGAAAGTTAGGGTCAGGGTTAAATATTTATTCTCTACTGAATATTAGCAACTGTTGACAGCTTGTGTTAAGTTATTAAATGATTACATATCAGTAAAAAAATGGATATGATGAAACTGTAAATTACTGAGTTCTGCACACGTATGTTGTGGCTCATGTATCACTCTTCCTATGCGGCCACATTATTTTTATATTCATTGGAAACGCTAAACCCGTAGGGAGTCATACAGCACGTAGAAAATGTAAGGTAATAAAGTTTGGACCAAGGAAGGGAAAGTTAACTTGAATTTCTTAAGTCATGTGCTCTTCACCAGCAGCAAGGCCAAGAAGTGAAGAGGTTGTACACTTATCTTTTATGGGGGCAAAGCCCCCCTCCCACTGTCTTGTAGCACCACACAAGCCTTCCCCTTGTCTGTGCACCGCCATGTTCCATATAGCGATGCACAACCACAAACAGTTTTCGTGTACATGTGTACCACCAGAGGTATCACTAGTATATGACTTAAATCCGCATAAACTTTTTTGTTAATTCGGTTTAAAGCCTATGGATTACACGAGTCATTAAGGCTCCAAACAACCTACTACACAGATCTCGTCCCATTTAACCCCACACTGTGTTCTATCTAAGCTTTCATAATAAAAAAGTACCTGCTTGTAAATGTGTTTCATCCTCTGACTAACCTAGATGGTGGAGTGCGATAAAATTAATGAATTCAGAGACAACTCACTCAGAAATGTTCAAGATATGTCAGAGTAATTTATCTCACAGTGGTATATTACAGACCATTCTGGAAAAATACCCTGACTTAGCTCCTTGTAAATAATGCATTACCACGTGTATGTGTACTCGCCCTACTCACCTAATTGTGGTTGCAGGGGTCGATACTCAGCTCCTGGCCCCGCCTCTTCACTGATCGCTACTAGGTTCTGGCTCTCTCTGCTCCCTGAGCTTAGTCATACCTCGTCTGAAAGCTATTTATGGTTCCTACCTCCACTACATCACTTGCTAGGCTATTCCACTTCCTGACGACTCTAAGACTGAAGAAATACTTCCTAACATCCCTGTGACTCGTCTGAGTCTTCAGCTTCCAATTGTGACTCCTTGTTTCTGTGTCCCATCTCTGGAATATCCTGTCTGTCCACCTTATCTATTCCACGCAGTATTTTGTATGTCGTTATCATGTCTCCCCCTGACCCTCCTGTCCTCCAGTGTATGTGTACTCACCTAATTGTGGTTGCAGGGGTCGAGACTCAGCTCCTGGCCCCGCCAGGAGTGTGTGTGTGTGTGTGTAACTCAAGAATTAATATTTGCACCGATAACTTGTGACCGGGTGTGGAAGTGTGAATTGTTCATTACATCATAATTTGTTCATGATTGTAACCATATATAAACGTAAGTATATTTACTTGCTTACATGATTCATTACCTTTGTAACTTATGACTTCATTACCTTTGTACCTTGTTCAGCTATCAAAACTTTGGGGCCCTGTCCCTGGACCCATTATGTACCTCTGTAATCTTTTGACTACCTCCCACAGGATGAGTATGGGGTGACTACCGCCCACAGGATGGGTATGGGGTGACTACCGTCCACAGGATGGGTATGGGGTGACTACCGCCCACAGGATGGGTATGGGGTGACTACCGCCCACAGGATGGGTATGGGGTGACTACCGCCCACAGGATGGGTATGGGGTGACTACCCCCACAGGATGGGTATGGGGTGACTACCTCCCACAGGATGGGTATGGGGTGACTACCTCCCACAGGATGGGTATGGGGTGACTACCTCCCACAGGATGGGTATGGGGTGACTACCGCCCACAGGATGGGTATGGGGTGACTACCTCCACAGGATGGGTATGGGGTGACTACCGCCCACATGATGGGTATGGGGTGACTACCGCCCACAGGATGGGTATGGGGTGACTACCTCCCACAGGATGGGTATGGAGTGACTACCTCCCACAGGATGGGTATGGAGGGACTACCGCCCACAGGATGGGTATGGGATGACTACCGCCCACAGGTTGGGTATGGGGTGACTATCTCCCACAGGATGGGTATGGGGTGACTACCTTCCCTCAGGATGGGTATGGAGTGACTACCGCCCACAGGATGGGTATGGGGTGACTATCTCCCACAGGATGGGTATGGGGTGACTACCTTCCCTCAGGATGGGTATGGGGTGACTACCTCCCACAGGATGGGTATGGAGTGACTACCGCCCACAGGATGGGTATGGAGTGACTACCTCCCACAGGATGGGTATGGGGTGACTACCGCCCACAGGATGGGTATGGGGGCATAATAAACATATTAAACTAAACTCACCTTGATGGAGGAGACGATGTCGTGGGCTAAACTTTCGTCCAGGGAGGGAGAAATGGCCACCACAACATTCTCATATCCGTTGTCGACCAGTTTAATGTTGCTGCTGCTGACAGTGTTCACCACCATCATCACCACCACCATCATCATCACCACCATCATCACCACCACACGCATTATCCGTAATATCTAGGAAAATATATTTATTAATTTAGCTACTGTTATGGTTGAATACAATCACAATACAGTAGCTAGATCAATTTATAATTGATTTACAATTTGGAGAGGAAATTGTAGACGTTTCGATCCATCCTGGACTACAATCAAGATGGAATATGATAATAGTCTAGAAGGGAACGTCACAGTACTGTGGCCGTTTTAGCCACAGTACTGTGACGACCCAACCCACCTCACTACCCAAACCACCACCACCCAACCCGATGTCCAACCCACAACCACCCAACCCACCAACACCCAACCCACCAACACCCAACCCATCACTACCCAAACCACTGTCACCCAACCCACTACCCAGTCCACCACATGCAAACTACTACCCAACCCACCGCATCCAACCTACTATCCAACCCACCACATCCATCTACTATCCAACCACCACATCCACCCTACTATCCAACCCACCACATCCAACCAACTACCCAACCCACCAGCTCCGATATACACAACTAATCCTAGCAAGAGCAATTTTTTTTACTGCAGTTCTTAAAGACTTCAGACATTGCGACGCTGAAGTGTAAACAGACTCAAGACATTTGACTTTGCACAGTCATATAACTTGGTTCACCCGTGTCTGTGGAAAATTTTGATAATTTTCCTATGATTTATGTGTAATAATTGATAGTGATAATAGGGTTTATATAATAATGCAGGTGTGTAATGCTGATGTGACTTTTGAAAGGTGATAATTCACAAGGGAACCGTCATATCCTCTATAATTTCCTTATTTATTGTAATAGGTTAATTAAGTAAAGTGAAATTATTGTAATAGCGAAGTAATTAATATTCTGATGAAGAAAATATATTACACACCTATAAATATAACTAAATTTAAATAAAAAGGTGTACAAAATATGAGAGTCGGGGGAGTAACAAAGATGGCGGTGCGGGAAGCAGACTAACCGGCGATTTGGCGAATGTTTCTCGAAATAATTTGTTAGTAATATTAGCAAACAGTGAAATAATACAAGTGAAGAGGAAATACATCTGGAAGATTCCAAATATATAATGAATTTTAAAAAATAAGCATGTGTAAATTTGAATTATATAATAATTGTGTATTAAAATGTGATGCTGATTTGATCCTTTTGAGAAATTTCTAGTGAGGGGGGAAAGGTAGAACAGCCAGGGAGTGACGCTGCGAGAGGACGCCATTTGTAATTTGCAAGCACTGATTGTCGTGGAAAATTGTGCAATGTAATCAGGTGTCATCGACGTTCATTTGGTGTATATTGGCCTCAATTCATAATTTAGAAATTTCTGACATGTTCCTGCTGAAGAACTGGGATAAATAGTGTGGAAAACCCTTACAATTCGGCAACAAGAAAGGAAAAATAGAGGACATCGATTCTTCTCAGGAGCACACCTTAGCTAAGTGAAGCTTACCCGTGATGTACAGTAGTTTTCCGTTGGCCATCGTAAAGTCTAGATGTTGTGGTGGCATACCCCTCAGGGAAGGTTCCTTGATGTTAGTGAGGGGCTCTTGATTTAGGGAATTGGATCTGTGCTCCAGTTCCCCGAATCAAGCCTGAATGCCTTCCACATCCCCTCCAGGCGCTGTATAATCCTACAGGTTTAGCGCTTCCCCCTTGATTATAATAATAATGTGGTGGCATAGGGTGTTTCCAAAAAATAATAATTATGATCCAGTAATTAAATGGTAGGTGGTAATACAAATTTCTTTTCTAATAACACCATTGTATTATATGTATTGTATTAATAGTTACATTTTGTGTACCCAGCAAGTAAACTAAAACATACAGTCCACACAATTTTAATCTACCAGAGTAGCTGGCTTTGATATTGTAATTATTAATTTAATTCAGGTCGAGCTTTTTGTGAGAGTAGTTATGGAGTGGGCATCGAGGGAGGTACAGTTCTGCGACCTACTGTGACCAAGTCCCACTTACCTCGCCCAAATTATTTGCATATAATAATTCAGGTAATACCCTGTAAACTTCATGCAGGTAATTTCTCATAATAATAATCCACAGATGGTATTAACGGAAAACGTGACGCGGTATATAATGGGCGCTATGTACATTACCCCGTGTGTTCTCCAATATGTGCACTTCCCAGTGTGCATTAAACCACACACAACAGGTCAAGTTGATAGAGATGGTAAATTTTTGATTCAGTCTGCCTTAGTGAGGTATAGGGGTATATCACCAATGTAATAAATGGGTATTAATTTTTATATGAAATTATGTACTTAGTAATCGTAAAATAGCAGATCAAACAAAATACCTAAATCAATCAAGTCCACTTCATAATTATACAGTCTACTTAATAGCCAGTTTTACTGGCGTAAATTTTCTTAATAAGTATACAGGAACCATATGTTCCTATTCCAGGGTTCCGGAGTTAGTTGGGCAGCTGAAGGAAAGACATAGTTTAACGACCCCAGTGTCCCTAACGTCCTACAAGTCTCCAAGTCACATTAACATCAGTAAGTTACAATTTGTTTTTGTGTCAAGAGGTCCTCTTCAGAGTGGATGGAACGTTAATTCGAAATTGTGTTCTAGTGGAAAATCCCCCATATAATTTCTAACAGAGTCCATCATGTTGCCGGTCAAACACGCCATTATCATCCACTAGCCATCGAGTGTGATAAAGCTATACTCTGTGGGATAAATACATCAGAAAGTCGCAGTTTGGTCACCGAACTTTCTAGGCTTCTGACAACAAAAATCTGTGAGATGTACGCAGAAGGTAGTAAATTCAACGCAGCCTCCTAAAAGAATGTCACACTTTAAAATGTGCTTTTAAGCCCGGTTCTAAGTTAGGTTTGGTTGAAGACTGGCTACAGTTTTCGTGCATGTGATAATTACATGGCCCTCGGGGGTTTGTTTTACAATTTTGAAACTGTGGGAAAAAGCACCAGTCTAGAATCTGACGACATATATGTCTACCGGTGGGGGAATGGGAACCTTACCGTGTGCTAGAGAGATAAAACCCTTTATATATTTACATAAATACTATAGTTGGTGGGTGAATGGCTAGGGTATGACAGCTTCAAGAACCCGAAAAATCTTTAACTAAAAACTTTTGTCGCGAGCACAAAAGGTAAAACCGTACACTGCACACATTTGAAAAGCAATAGGTGCGCCTCGTCCTCGGTTTGGGTAAATTTCATAAATAAAAAGTTGCATTATTTTTAAATCCTTTTTGTCTGGTATTTCCCCGTTATTACTTCAAAGCAAAAACATATTATTCACTGCACCTAGACCCTTGAAGGGGGCGGATTATGTACTGAACGTCTTTATAAAAGAAATTAACTGTCTTTTTTCCCTTTCCCAAAACCCTTTTTCCCCTTCCTTTTTCCCAAAGTGAGGGACCCCCTTAGGGTTTTTAGTGCTTCCCCAAAAATTTAATGAAAATTTCTGCATCAAAATCTTGCAATAACATGGTTTAAAATTACTTCGTAATAATACTCAGTGATGTATCTTCCTGTTAATTGATGTTGTTTTAGCCTAATTGTTTTTGATGCAGTCTGTGGATTTAAAGCCTATCAAACCAGGGGGTCACTAATTACGGCTTTTTTTTTTTTAAGAGCGCCCCCAATACGGGATCCGGGGTGGCTTAAAACCCGATTTATAATCTTGCGAGCGTGGTGTAACAGCCTGTGCATTTTATTTTTCCCCAAGGTAGGTAAGTAGGTATAAAGTTTGTCAGGAAACATGAAGTGTTTTTCTGACGCGGGTTTTAGTCATATGATGCTCTCTTTTGGGTTCACCACACCCAACACACAACCAACACAACACACACCAACACACACACACACACACACACACACAACACACACACAGTCTGGTCCGGATGAGGTATCCGGGGGCCCCGGTGACGAGGGGGCCCCACAGGGGTCCTTTCTGGGCCAGTGCTTTTCTTGGTATATGTGAACGACATAAAGGGAAGGGATAGATCAAATTTCCCCTGTTTGAGATAGTAAATTTAAATGAGGAGATTAAATCGACCCGGCCCAGAAGGTCTCAAAAAACCGGGACGGCGGGTCGTGGTCCGAGACTGGCTCTTGAATTTAAAAAAACCCCCCAAATGAAAAGTCATGAAGTCGAGGAGGGAAAAGAAGCCCACAGCAGAGTATAGGCTGGAGGAAAAGGGCTGCAAACCTCACTCAAGGAGAAGGGCTAGGAGTGGGTATAATCCCCGATACTTGCCAGAAGCCACATTAACGGTAATGCTGCGGCAAAAGGCGTTTTGGAAACTGAGAATAGGTTCCGGTTTCAGAAAAGAATCGTTCAAGATTTTATACACTGGTACGCGGGGCCCTAGGGTACGCAGACCTGGTCAAACACGTCAAGAAATTAAAAAAGTGCAAGGTTTGCAACAAGGGGCTAGTTCCGAACTGGGGGAAGCCCTTTTGAAAAAAGGGTTTAAAGGGGGAAAATCGGTCTGACAACACGGAGGACAGGGGGGTGGGAGAATGTACGGTTTACAAAATTGCGGGGAAAATAGAAAAGGTGGACAGAGACAGGAGTTCAGAGATGGGACACAGAAAAAAGGGGTCAAAATTGGAAGTGAAGACTCAGAGGGATTTGGGGAAGTATTTCTTCAGTCAAAGAGTATTAGGAAGTGGAAGTTGCAAGCATGTAGTGGAGGGGAAAACATAAGTTTAAGCGAGGATGATAAAGCCATGGAGCAGGGGGAGGAGGCCCTAGTAGAGGTGGGTAAAGAGGCGGGGCCAGGAGTGAGCTCCCCCCCAAAAACCAAAATTAGGGGGTTAACACCAGAGGACAAGGAGAAGGGGGGAAATGAAAAACGAAATACAAAATTGAGAGGTCGAAAAGGGGACGGGGACGGATGTTCCACAGATCAACACGCAAAAAGGGGGCACATTGGAGGAAAGATCAGAGAACCGGGGTGTTGGGGAAGTATTTTTTTCACCCACAGAGTTGGGGGAAGGGAATGTCGGAAAGTGATGTAGTGGGGGCAGGATCCAATTAGCTTTAAGAGGAGGATGGTAAAGCTCATGGAGCGAGGAGAGCCCTAGTACGGCCAGCTGTGAATCGCCCCCTGAAACCCAACTAGGGAGTAAAAAAAACAACACACACAAAACAACCCCAAACAACCACACCCAACCCACACACACACCCCACACACACCACCCACACCACACACACACAACGGGGGCCAGGAGTGGATCGACCCTGAAACCTCAACTAGGTGGTACAACACCCCTCAGCAGGGCGAGTTCGACCCCTGAAACCCACAATTAGGTGGAACACCCCCAACCACACACACACACCACACACACCCCCCCCACCACACACACACACCCCACACACACCACACAAACACCCCCAACAATGGAGTAGCAGACCAGTCTGGAACCCCACCTGGCAACACGTCAAGAAGTTGAAAAGTCAAAGGTTTGCAAAAAGGGCTACCCCAGAGTCAGGGGAAGTCGTACGAGGAAAGGTTGAGGGATTCGGCTGACGACCTGGGGACAAAGGGGTCAGGGGAGACATAAAAAACATACAAGATTGTGGGAAAGACAAGGGGGAAAAGGATGGTTTTCCCAGGGGGGACACAGGGAAAAAGGGGGTCACAACGGAAAGCTGAAGACTCAGAGAGTCACGGGGGACGTTGGAAAAGTATTTTCAGTTAGGGTTGTCGGGAAGGGGAAATCCCTAGAAGTGAATAGGGAGGCAGGGAACCATACTTAGTTTTAGAAGGGTATGATAAAAGCTCAGGAAAGAGAGAGAGAGAGGACCTAGTAGGATAGTGAAGGCGGGGCAGGGGGTGAGTTTGACCCCGCAAACCCCAATTAGGTGAGTAAATCCGGGTTCCCATTTTTATCTGAAAAAGACAAAAATGAAAAATTAGCACTTTTTTCCTTTTCCGGTGATACCCCAATTTAATGACGTGTATCCCCCGAAAACATTTAACCTCCAAACTGACACCCCAAATCTTTAAATAGGCCGCAGAATACGTATGAAGTTCATTGAAAAAAAATTTTAATTACGAAAAAAAAATAGAGGGTGTACCCGGTGTAGTACCTGGGGGTTTTTGTAAATTAGAACTGTGCAACTTTGGGTATCTTTAGAGGAAAAGTTTTGCCACATTTGTTGGACGAGAAGCCACACAGGGCTTTGGAATAAAATTTTCTAACTATTGCATAGGAGGAAAGGTATGGTGTACCGACAAGATTGGAAAAGACCTTTGTACATTCAGGGGCATTTTTTAAAGGAAACGTTTTGCCCGAGTGGGTTTTCAGCCCAATACAGAGAAAAAATAAGAAAAACACATATTATGGGGGAGTCAGGTGAGGTGATGCGTGGGAGGGTGATGTAGTAGTAGTAGTAGTGTAGTTGGAACTAAGGGGGTGAGGTGAGAGGGATGTGGCATCAAGTAAAACCATTCCCCGGATGGGTAATTCCTCTTTTGTAATTTTGAAAACTGTAACTACCGGGTTTTTGCTTTATGTGTTATGCGAAATTAGTCAGCTTCAAACATTTTCTCCGTCTTAAAAACGTCTTTTTAATAACTAGTTTAGCTTTATTGAATTTCATGAGGTGCCAACATCTCCTATGTTGAACCATGCGTTTTTGCGGGGGATCTTTTTGCAAGATTTTTTTTGTTTTGCTATTATGTCCCGATTTTGGTGTTTTCCCCTACATATACTTTGCCCACCCCCACATGGGATGTGTAGATTCCTGCATTGTGCCAGAAAACATGCTTGGGGTTTTTTTATAGGTTCCCAATAGTAGTTGAAGATGGTAGTATTTTAGCCAGTTTTTTGTCAAAAATTTTGAAACATTAGTGGCAACGTTGGTGGGCCGGTAAAACGTGTAATTGGGGTTTTTTTCAATTTGTGGTGTTGGTCTTTCTGAGGATACGTGTTTTAAGTTTTCCCCCGTCACGATGAAATGTAGGGGAAAGTTGTGAACTAAAAGGGGTTGGTTTGGGATGTACTTTTTTCTTCGGGAAAAATGCGGTGGAAAATTTTTTAGGCCCCCTTTAGAAAGAAGCCATAACTACCCCCCTTTTAGTTCTTGTGTCTGGTGAGGAAGAAAGTAGAAGTCATTTTTTTAGGTGGCTTCCGGTAAACTTTAAAAGGAAAGTTTGTTTTCCCCTGTGCTAAAAGGGAAGTCGAGAAAAGGGAACTGGGTTCCTTCTCCCCCTAGAGAAAATTTAAAGTAGGGGTTTCCCGGGTTGATGGTGTTTAGGATGCCTGCCCTCAAGATTTTTGGGGACAATGACCAAAAAATCATTACGTACCCCATCCAAGTAACTGAACGGGGTGTTTTTTGAGGGTCCTTCTTGATTCCGGTCCCCATATAAAATGGGAAGAATGCACTAAGGGGGGATCCCTGGCAGTCCCAAGAGTTTTTGTACTTCTTGTCCCTAACCTAAAAAAGTTAAAACGAACACAAAGTTCCTAGGCTCACAAAAATCTTGGCGGGGGGAAGGGAACTCTGTATCATCTTTAATCACCCCGGAAGAAAATCAAAGGCTTGATTAAAATGGGCATTTGGGGAATAAGGCAGCAGCAAAACTTGCAACTTTTATCCTCATGTCGGATCCCCCATCGGTTAAAGGGGTCACCCGAATGTCTTCAAGTACTTCTGCTTCTTCAAAATTTTCGTACTCGACTGAAGGAAGCCCCACTGTGTAGGCGAAACGTTTCGAAATAAAAATACCCAAGTTGCATATGTGTTTTTCCAAAAAAATTTTCGGTATTTTTACCATTTTTTGTTCATTCTGTCAAAATGCAAACAAGGGTTCTTGGACAGACCCTCAACTTCGACAAAAACCCCTTTCTGGAGAACGGCTGGGTTGGAGGGACTGCCCTCCCCAAAAACAACCCACGTTTTACTTGGCCTTATAAGGCTCCCTCCTGTCCCTTTAACTCATATTGTTCAAAAGGAACAATGCTCTTCTCCAGATGAGGGCTGACCACCTCAAAATTTAAGGGGTGGATGATTTCATGTCTTTAAAATTTTTTTGCTTCTACAACTTTTTTTGTACTCGACTGAAGAAGCCTCTGTGTAGGCGAAAAAAGTTTTGAAATAAAGATCCTAATGTTGCATATGTGTCTTACTCTTGAGTTATGTTGCGGGTGCGATTGGGAATCACCAAGGTTATAAGTGCCAATGAGTGCCCCAAAATTTTTGAAAATGTTTTAGCAAGAAACCTGAAGTTGATGGGGGCACTGCCCATTCCATTCTTACTTTCTTATTCCCGAGGAGACGGGCCCCCATGGGAAATTCGGTTTTTAGTTTTTCGGAGGCGTAATTTTGGGGGGTCTGGGGTTGTGGGAATGGTTTGCAGAAGTTTTTTGCAAGTTTGTTTGCGGTGAGATGATTTAAGGGGGAGGGGGGATCTTTTTGGGACTGCCACTGTGAAAAAAGGGCGCGTCCAAAGGGGGCAAGCGTTTTAAACTTTGTCCAAAATTCCAGTATATAACCCCCTCTCTGGCCCTAGCTGCATTCTACA